TTATTTCACTGGTGCTTAAAGAATCCTGTACTTGGTTTGCAAAGACGAAGAAGGCGCAAAAGGTTAAAGAATGTTTTTATTCAGCTTTCAGCTGTCACAGTTCTAAACAGTAAACATAATTAACAATTCACCCACGGTACTGGAGAACATAGTCCTGGTATCAGTAAAATGTCTACTGTTTAAGGCACTGATAGTGAGAAATAAAAAAGCATGGATTGCTCCTACTTAACCAGAATTTGAATCTATGATGAATATGTGCTTGCTATTCAATGCTTAAAATTCCACAAGCTACATTTACAAACAAATGTTTATACAACTTCAGTAATTACCAAAACAGGAATCAGTGGCTCCCTTACTTTGACTCTAGAGCAAATATTGCTTTTCTTTGGAGTGGAATCAACTTTATAATGTATTAAAAGAAACCAAAACACAAGTTACTTCAGCAGTATGGCTTTAAGACCCTCTATTTGGTTACAATATAGCAAGCCAAATTAAATAACAGTGTACAAGTGCCAGGTACTGTCATCTTAAAAGAAGCAGGTTTACAATATAAAAATTATTTTAGAACATACTAAAGCCAGTTTTTGTACAAACATTTTTACAAAACTGAATTACTAAAATAATTCAAGAACATTTTAAATATGAATCACTCTTTACATGTTGTATGCATAAAGTGACTTATCTTGATATAAATTAGGAATACTACAAACTTTTTAAAGCTGGCACCCATATGCTATTGAAATGCACACATCAGAAATACTGAAGTGTTAGTTCTGCAAAAATCCTTAAGAGTCACATTTCCACTTGCCCAATAGATGCGCAGTGACTTAGGTTTCAAAAGGAGCCACAGTGACCTCCCGTGGCCACTTAAGAAATCCCTGTTCTTAACCTTTTTTTTTTCCACACAAACACCAATAAACCTGAAATGTACAACAGTGGTTTGTGCCTGGTCCAACTACTCTAGGAAATTACGGTATTTCTATCTGAAATGAGCATAAAGGAGCACAGCCTTCACACAATCCAGAGCCTGGTCACAGAAAAAAGTCCATTTTTCTCTGTGATTTATCAAGAAAGTGTTTCAGAACAGTTTAGAGAACTGTTTTCTGTAGGTCAATGAGAGATGATGTTCAAAAGATGTTCAAAACACATTCAGTGTTAGGGTGCCAAATACATAACTTCAGCTTTTGAGAGACTTAAGGAAGGAAATGTAAATTGATGCTGTCTGACCCAAATCCAAACCAGGTAAAGTTGTAAAAGACATTTTAGATGCGTGTCAAGTTCATTGGTATACAAAAGCAAAAGAACCCAAAAGTCGTTTAAGTGCCTTCTTCCATTGTTCTGAAGGGATGCAACCAACAGGAGCAAAACACTGTGTTCTTATGTCATGAAGAGAAGAAGAAAGTGGAAAAAAAACAAAAATCAAAGTACTGACTGTCTCTCATCCGCAGAACTTACATTCTTCTACTGCTTATAAATCTTCTCTGTTATACTCAACTTTTTTTCCATTATGTGACTCTTCTGTGTTTGGTGCCAGCCATGCAAAATACACCTTCACTGGATCAATATTCCAATGCTTGTGAAAGGATACTGGAATTTGGTGAG